GATCAGCTGACCCAGAAGGGTCTTGGTTGGGGGGGCGTCGTCTTTTAGTAGTTAACTTAGTACCCAGGTTGTGCAGCGTGCGTGTTTGTAGATAGCGAGCGGCCTGCCATCGAGCACCGCTATATAAATTGTTGATCAAAAAAAAATAAAAAAATAAAAAGCCATGGTCCCCCATTGAGGTACGATGGCTGGAGCGGCTGCCCATCAGGCTGTTGAAGCTCCAAAAATTCAGAGCCTCGGTAAGTTGGATCCTGGAAAGTGGAGCTCCACAAATCCAGGACTGAGTGCGCAGCTTGAGAGCGAAGCGCGTCTATAGAGTTGTCCGTCTTGCGACGTCCAACCCTGACCTTGAGTTCGGTGACATATTTATGTGCTTCACCATGGATGTCCCACTGCAGAGCAGATAGAACGTAGACGAAAGTGATGCAACGGAGATTGTCCGCCTCAAACCACTCTTGGAGAGCGTGACAAACTGACAGACTAAAAGCCTGACCAGAGTGTATGGAGGGGTCCACCGCTCTGTGGGCCGAGCCCATAGAGTCAGTGAAGACCATGATATGTTGGCAGTTTGCCTGCTTGACAGCCAGGTGCACTGCACACGATATGGCATTGAGTTCTGCATCGGGGGCAGTAACTCTGCCAGAGACATAGCGAGTCCTTTCGAGCTTGCGATGTCCCTTGTAGATGATGGCAGCCAAAGCCGCCTGATACTGGTTGGACCAAGGGACAGAGCCGTCAGTTGCAGCCAGTACTGTTAAAGGATTGGCCCTCACTTTCGCGATGAGCTCGTTGAGATATGGTCGCCTATCCTGGGTAGGATCACGCTCATCAAAGTGGAAATGGTCCGCATAGCGGTCCAATAACCGATTGTCAGGGCGAGCTTCAGGCGCAAAGGGCTCAAAGCTCTCAGTTAAGGTGTGGACGCGCTCGTCCACCTCCATGACGGTGCTCTTGACTTCCTTTAGTACCAGTTCTGGATGGCCGAAAGCAAAAAATATGACTTCCTGATAGCCTTCGCTCTATCCCATTGACCTTGCCTCCTTACTTAGGGAGCATTCCTGCAGATTCTCTGGCCTTTATTGGGTATACGGTTGCTGGCGTCACGAGATGAGTCTGACTCAGGGACGGCCCACCCCCAGGAGATGGAGGTAGAGGGCACTCAGGGAGGGGAGGAGGTCTCGAGGGACCCCTCCGTCGACCTTCTTCTAGGTCAATACGCCTTGAAGTTCCGAGACACAGTCGAGGATCTTCCTGGCGATCTCGAGGTATTGACCACCTCCATTGTGAAGGCCACAGATCTAAGAAGCGTAAGGGTGTTGATCGTCCGGTCCCACCTCCTCCTCAGAAGAAGAGCAAGGTGGCCTACTCTCGCCCTGGTCCACCTCCGCCGATCAACCGCGCTACCAAACCCAAGCCCCGTCCAACAACGTGGGCAGGGATTGCACGACAGGCTGCTCCGATGCCTCCCCCGCCTCCTGGCTTGGGACCGCAGCGCCGCGGGCCCTCTCCTCCTCCCCCCGCATTCCCAATGGGCCCAATGAAGACTTCTCCTCATCGGTCTGTTCCTTCTTTCACTTCCGAGGGCCCCACCTGGAAGCAGGTTCTCGTGTCATTCGGGGGTACCCCTCCCGATCTCACGAAGTTCTTCACCGAGTCGGCTGTTCGTGCAGCCAACGGATATCTCAGGGATGGGCGAAACAGATTTGATATTCTATTTTTCCAAGAAACGCCTTGGAATTTCATAAGACATGCACCGTCTACCACAAGTATGGAGGGCAATGAGGTTATCGGCGCACCAAAGCATCCTGAATGGCTGCAAATGGTGCGCATTAAGGAAGGGGAAGTTCCCCACGTGATCGCCTATGTTTCGACTAGGCTCTCCCGCTATCGTCCCGCTATGCGCCGTGACATCGTCGACCATCGCGACATCCTCGTCCTCTCCCTCTTCAGCGGGGGTGAGGTTCTTAACTTAATGAACATCTATTCCGACGATCAACACACAGCCATTGAGTACCTCGCTGCTCGTGTGCATTCTTTACCACCTTTCATTTATATGGCTGGTGACTTCAACTGCGTGTCAACGACTTGGGATGACTATGAGCATGGCGAGTCGTCGACGGCAATATCCCTGTGGGACACCGCATCTCAGATCGGCCTCGAGTGGGCATGACCTTCTAACCATGGACCGACGCGGATCAGTCCTAATCCAAACCAGAGATCCAACGTGTTGGATCTTGTATTCTTAGCTCCATCTGAGATTCTAATCTCGATGCCCAGATTGGAGCACGTTCTCCAGGGTCCATCAGATCATGTCCCGATCTGTACAGATCTTGATATTGGTCCCGAACCGCCCGGATCTGGGCTACGGGCAATTAAACCTGGAAGCGAGGCTGAAAAGTCTTTCATTTCGGATATTCTCCGGGATCTTGCGACTATTCCTGTCGCAGCCCCGGCAACCAAGGAAGGTGTTGAAGCTTTAGCCGATGCTATCGTGACAGCGTTCTCGGACGCGTGGCTTGCCCATTCGACCGAGTCCAAACCTACCAAGCGCTCCAAGTCCTGGTGGATGGACGAGTGCTCAGAGACATTCAGAGTATATCAGTTGAGCCACTTGCTCGCTGACTACAACAAGTTTAAGAAGGTGTATAAAGATGCCAAGCGTGATTTCTTTGATGAACGCATCGCAGAAATTGCTACTTCTCTCAAGCGCCCGTGGGACCTGATGGAGTGGGTCAAACAGCGCAAGCTACTACCCTGTGAGGCTATTCGCCACGGCAATCAGCCTTGCCATGATATGGACGACCTCTGGGACGCCCTGCACGGCACGTACAACTTGGCCTCAGGTCACGAGTAGGACGCCTCAGTCTTAGACGAGCTTCCTGACGAGCCAGTCCGGGAGTGGGCTGACTTTTCGGAGCATGAGTTGTTGAGCGCCCTCAAGGGGTGTTCCAACTCCTCTGCACCAGGACCGGACCATGTTACGTGGGTCCACCTAAAGGAGTTGCTCAAGGATAAACACGTCCTTGCGCTCTTCATCGTGCTGGCCAACGCTTGCCTTCGGGTGGGTCATTGGCCTCGTATTTTCAAGGAGTCGCTGTTGGTTATTGTACTGAAGCCGAATAAGTCCTCCTATGTAGTCCCAAAGGCTTTCAGGCCCATAGTACTCCTCATCACCTTCGGTAAGCTTATTGAAAAGATGATAGCCAACAGGATACAGTTTGACGCTGTCAAGCATGATATCTTCCACCCCAACCAACTTGGCGGTATCTGCCAGAGGTCCACTGAGGATGCTGGATTGATTCTGACTCATCTCGTGCGAGCGGGGTGGGTTAAGGGTCTCCAGACTAGCACGCTGGCTTTTGATATCACGCAGTTTTTCCCTTCTATCAACCATGAAATGTTCATGGCTGTCCTGCGCAAGCAAGGATTCTCGCCAATCTTGGTGGAGTTCTTTGCGTCCTATCTTGTTGGTCACTCCACAGTTTACTGCTGGAATACCTTCCAGTCTGACCCACGGTCTGCGGACGTGGGTGTTGGGCAGGGCTCTGCTCTCTCGCCTGTTATCTCAGGGCTTTTCATTGCTCCGGTGATGAAGCTCTTCTATATCAAGGCGGCGCCGCTCAACACGACACTGCTTTCCTTTGTGGATGATGGGACCATACTGGCCCAATCCAAACAACTCGATGATAATAATGTGGGCCTGCATAAGGCCTACAAAATTATTTACCTTCTCTTTGTTGCCTTCGCACTCGTTCTTGAACATGACAAGACTGAGCTGTTCCACTTTTCGCATCGACGAGACGCCTACAATCCCTCGCTGGATTTGGGGTACACCCCGCATACCAGCGCTATGCCTTTGAAGCCCAAGACCTATTGGAGGTACCTGGGCTTCTACTTTGACCATGGGCTCACATTCCATGAGCACGTTTGCTACTATGCCACCAA